AAAAAAAAAAAAAAAAAAAAAAAAAAAAAAAAAAAAAAAAAAAAAAAAAAAAAAAAAAGAATAAAGGGAAGGAATCCAGTCAGGGCCCTGTAAATCTCAAAGAAGGCCAGCCTCCTTTGGTCCTTCGTCCACATACATCACCCTCCCCTCGTTATTTACTCGCTCGGACGGTTGCGGTCAAATTAATCGATACAGCGCCCCACACCCCGTAAGACGGAAGGAAAGAGGAGGAGGGGGGAATGAGATCTCTCTCGGATTAAGCGTATGTCATTTGGCTGGCTCTCAATACGTACCTCATTTCCGTTGAGAAATATCCCGATGGAGAGGAGCGTGCTCAGAATACCCCGGAAGGTCTTATTCACTCGGAGGGTCTCCATGCCCTGCTTCAGGTCCATCAGAGGGTCTGCAATTTCCTGCAAGTCACAAATGTCGCTTCTTTCACTCACTGTACAGATGCAGCTAGCTTCCCCCTCCCATCCCCCTACTTCGTCTTGATATACCAGCTTACTGCTGCTGACCTCGTTTTGGTGTACACCCAGAGTATGAGTTTTTTTTTTTTTATTTATTTTTTTTTTAATCACAATTTTTCGCATCTACCTTTTTTTTGGAGCTTTTTTTATTTTGTTCGGCTTCACTTTGCGCATCGACAATGAGGACAAAAAAAGGACACAGGACAGCTTCCTTTACGTTTTTCTCGGAAACCTCACTTTTTAGCGCCACCCCGTTTGTTTCGCGGGTTTTTGAATCTTGATGGAAAAATCCGAGAACAATTCACGCTTTTCGACTTTTTATGCGAAAACTCTACGTTTACGTGAAATTTTAAAGGTTTATTCCGTGTTGGATGGTTGGATCGATCATATTGCCGAAGCTATTTTCTTTCAATTTTAAAACAAATGCATCGAGTACACTGAAACTAATAAATTGTGGAAAAACTACTAAAAATGAAAAAAAAATACGATTGTACATTCATCCGTATAACATGGTTATTGCGAAATAGTTGAAAAGGACATAAATTCGCGTGGCAGTTCGTTCTTCTTGCGTCTTGGTAAATTTAACGCATTGCACTTAAGAACGTACCAAGTTAAATGGCCCAGTATATCTTTACACTCGAGCGTCTGACTAGAGCCGGAACTTTACTACTTGTTTGATATACATACTACTGCCACGTTTATATACGTGCGCACACACCGACTCTCGTCCCTGTTTCTCCCCCTCGCCTTATCCGCGCGAGTGAACTTGTTAATTTCTTATCAGTCATCTCCCTCGGAAACAGTCATATACATTTTGTGCCGTCAAAAAAACAAAATCCACCGAAAATAAGCTTCTCCCAGTTACTTCTTACATCAGTGACTTTACAAGCGATTCCCCTCGATCCAATGTATAGTTCTTCCTGCGGGATTATTCCGCGCTACGGAGCTACACGTGCTCGCACGATTGCCGCAACTGTCACGCGCCTCCCCCCCCCCTTCGCACGTACGCAAACTCGGCAACCGGGTGACAGCTGTAACTTTCCGCAACCGCAGCTCGCGTATTTTCCACCTGAATCGGCGTTGTACGCGCCCTCGCGACGCGAAGGGAGAATTGATTCGCGATTTGCCGTCTGCGTTTACGTGCGGAGCAACCCGAGCGACGACGATTAACGCACTTGGTTTAACTCCCCCCCCCCCCCGTTGTGCTTTCGAGCCTGTGCGATACAACGATGTGAAGGGACCCTCGGAGAACTCGAGAGTTAGACAGCGTTGCGATGCGATGGGATTATTTATGTTTTAGAGGTTTACTTCCCCCCCCCCCTCTGCTGATACGGCCATCCGATGCGGAGGTTCGTAGAGAAAAGTCCATCCGAAAGCATTTTCGGAGATAAGAAGGTAGTGGGGGGTGGGGGCATAAAAAAGTGGTCGAATCATCAGTTTCGGAAGCCGCAGCTGCTTTAAAAATTGCTCGACGGACTGGACAGTGGTACACCTTACCTTTTCCGAATTTTCAAAGTCGAGCTTGAAAGCCCAGAGCTTTAATCTGGCCGGGAGCTCGGAAATCGATGTCAAAGTTAGGAGGAACTGCTCGGCTGATCCCAGAGGGAGATCCGGATTGGCGGCCTGGGCCTCTTGTATCCGCGTCCTCTCCTCCTCGGTTGGTAACATCGTCAACAATTTCTGTTTTTGGGGGCGGGTGAGAGAGCACGATTATTATTTTACGGGTAAAACTCTTGATTTTTTTTCTTAAAAAATTGAATTTACCTCTATGCCCTCTCTGTTCATGATGGTGGCGTCCATTTTGAGGATCGCGGTCTTTATGGATCTGGGGGGCGGTAATTTCGTCATGCCGATGTTTATGGCGTTCGATCGCTTGTGGTCGAGTACTATGATTTCCTTGTTCTTGTTCATTTCTTGTTGCTTCTGCGGGTGTGCCAACATCAAAACAAATGTATCGTGTTTTCAAATTATCCAATCACGATGCACTACTTGTACTTTGCTTTATTTTTACTACATAATTATATGCATAGAAAAATATCGATTAAAGTAAATACTACGCAAAATACACATGTTATTATAATCAAAGTGCATGTGTACTACGAGAAAATATAGTCCGTAGGTATTTTTGTTTGCTCTTTTACATACAAACAGCTATGAGTTTGTTCGAGAGCCTAGTGTTTAACGCACTTTTTTCTATTTACAATGACTTATTAAGTATATATTAGTATTTTGTCAAAAAAAAACAAAATAATAATAATAATAATGATGATGATTACAAAAATACACCGACAGCATTGAAAACAATAAAAGATGTACAATGAAAGAAAGCCACGTACGTTAGAACACGTGTAAATGTGTATGTACATCCAGTCATGCATATGCAATGACACAACCACGTGGTCGAGGTGGGTTATATTTTTTATTCAAGCATGTGTGTACAGGTTAAATGAAAGCTCGAGTGACAAATTAAATGGCTTGTGAACTTCATTTTCCACGTGTGTAGGATACTCTTGGGATTTTTATTCGTTAGAGCCATGGTTTGATTGCACAAGCAGTCCCTCGCGGCTCTATAATTGATGCAGTTGTGGTCGGAGACAAAAAAAATTACCCACTTTGTATTCGACGACAAAAAAATATTGCCAAAGTACATATTATTCCAGGGCAACGACATTTTACGAAAAAAATCAATAGTTGAAAAATAAAAAATAAAAAATAAAAACGAACGAACGTAAATCACCAGGATTAAGCTAAAAAAGTGTCAAAGAGCCGTAAGCGATTGCGTGTTGGATGAAAAAAGGGTCGTAGGAATTTTGCCAAGATCATTATGTACATGATATGTTACGTGGGGGCGTGTAAAGTTAAAGTAGAAGGGAGCAAAGTTAACGAGTGATGAAATAGTTAATTGTGACTCACCTCCTTTAATTATTTATATCCAGCATGCCAGAGAGTTCGTTTTTGCGTGCGAGCACCAGCGATATATAATTTGCAAAGAATACAAGAAACAACAGATTAGTCGGTGTTTTTTCTTTTTTTTTCTGTTTTTTTTTTTTTTTTTTTTTCTTGCGACTCGACCATCACCACCACCCATCAAGCCACACCCCACGCCAACGATTTATCAATCATTCGCATCGTCACAACGTTAACGAAAAAATTGTGTCTGGCGTCTCTGTGGTGACTCATTTTTGTACACACAAGCAAGTGTCACGTGTAAATGTCCATATGCAAAAGCAACGTTTATTTAATCATCCCGATGTCAAAGTCAATTAGTGCCGCGCTCGACTCTTTCGAATTATTCAAAGCGAACGACTAGTCAGCTACGCCGGGTAAGTCCATCACTCGCAACGCGTGGTACACGTGTACTTAATGTGTCAATATGTTTTTGCGTATCTTTTATCTCTCGATGGTGGTCGAATTTCAAATTCCAAATTGTAACGATCACTCGCATAGCCCATCAAAAGATGATGGTATACAAATGAATACTCGACGAAACAAATATGGACGTGTCTTTATACACTTTTACGACCTCATTTGGCGGTAAACAAATTAACGCCAGCTGCAGTCCAATACTACACGTGTCGATGTGGATAGCAGCGGTTCAATGAAAGGCAAACAAAAAACTCGATCAATCGATAGAGCTACGTACATAGCGCTGACGGTTGTCGAAATTAGACAGCCACACGCGGTAACTCAAGGGCGGCCCGCAAAACCGCTAATCTCCTCCACCCCCTCGGCAGCGATTGGTCCGTCCACCGCAGGGCCTTTTGATTCATTGAACTGAACTTGATCGCATATATATGAGCACGGGGTGCCGAGGGAGGTAAAGATTAATGGACAATGCGAGCCGGCAAATCAGCCACGTCATGTCGACGCGATGGGTGTTGCGTACAAAATTTGCCATAAGAGTGTAGTAATATGCCAAGAAAAGGGGGAATCGGTCAAGTTCCCTGTAAATCGGGTGGGAGCCAAGTTTTCGCAACTGTGGCGTCGGTTACGGAAGTTTGTTCGAGAAATCTGTTTTCCGACTGCAACTATCGAGTGCATCTTTCACGGACTTGGAGAAAAGCAGGGATTTCGAGAAACTCGGCGTGCGTTTTCATCTCGAGTGAAGAATTGAGCCAACTTTGCGGTGTTGAGGTAAAAATAAAACTATATACATTGGCACAACTTTTACAGGTGATGTTAAAAAAAAAGTAGCAATAGGTGGGTATCCGACAATGCGATCTCCCCTCCAACCATGCGAGTCGTCCCCGTCAAGGTCGACGCGTCCAGCAGCACTTGGACTTTGGAAGAAGAACCGAGCCGAAGTAAAAGGAAGAGAAGAAGCAATGAAAAAGAGGAAAAGGAAAAGCAAAAAAAAAAGAGATAGCCAAGCAGAGGGTTCTCACGAGCCGTCCGAAGGGACGTGCACACACCTACACGTATACCCAATGGGCTTTCGAAAAATCACTTTCAATCGCAAGGGCGCATCGAAAGGGCGAATCTCCCTCTTCGTCGGGGCAATTACGCGGTTTAATTCGACTCGCTCCGCTTGCTCTTTCCCTTTCGCACGAGCGGAAGAAATAATCGCGCGAGAGGAGGAGGAGGAGGAGGACATACGAGATAGGCGCGCTATATGCAGCCTCGAAAACGCAAAGATATCCCCGGCACTGATGCACGTGAGGACTGAGGCGATAATCCACGGGCGTAAAATACACGAACGTATTTCATATTGCTTTTTTTTTGTTTTTCTTCATTTTCCTCGCTCCTAGCTCATCTTTTTGGTTCTTCGCGTCCGAGGAATGCGGGCACTCGCACGCGCGCCCCGCTGAAGCTCCGAGCGTACAATGGACGGATAGCACACAATGCGCGGCTGAGGAGTCGCGCAATGAGGACGAGGCACGCGATGATGAAGATCTTGAAACTTTCGGAATGCTCCGGCTGCTGAGAAGCTCGCGCACCCTCTTTTTCTCCGCGATGAGAAATGTGGTGGGATCGAGCACACGCGGGAGAGCTTTTCACGTAGCCCGCATTGAATCAAAAATGACGAAATTCGGGAGACGTGTGTTCGCGCACGTGCAATGATGAATAATTACAATTGCGAGCTGTGCTGGTGAACGTGGCGTAAGAATTTAGTCGTTCCGTCTTGGTTTTGCAAGGATTTCGCACTCCCCGTGACAACTACTGCGAGATGTATACTCATTTACGGGTCGTCCGTTCACGTGTCACACGAAAGATATACGAGAGCTCGGGATGGTCGGGGCACGGCAATACGTTATATCTTCGTGTATAAACGGTGCAGTGTACCAGAGACGAGAAGTGCCGGCGATCACGTGTGGGCTTACAAAAATAATGATAAAAAAAAGATCAGCCAGACGAATATACACAAGGCAAGAGACGCCTGGCGTGGAAGCTCCCGTCCGTCGCGGATTAAGCTCGTGATCCCAACGTTGTGGAGGACACGGAGGAAAAGGGGACACGTGCAATGGCACGCGAGAGAAACTTGAACTTCTCTTTGCTGCAGCAAGAATAGGATTGGAGGGATTCCTTTCAGTGATTTCTTCTCGCGCATATAATTACCAAAGCGTTGCTTTGTCGTGGTTTTTGTCCTCGTTGAATCGAAAGGAACCGAAATACTTAAACTCGCAACGGTCGAGCATTCATATGCGTTCGCGTACAAAAGCTTGAATATCCCATCTACCCCTGTCATGTACGTGAGCCGGTATGGTTCGGCGCAAAAGTCGCACGACAATGGTTCCCTCTATTTCTTTTTTTTTGTTTGCGATATTACGAGCAATATCGGTATGATTCGTTCTGGCCCGGCTTCGAGGAAATCGCGCGAAAGAAGAGGCATTTTGCGAATAACTCGGAGTACAATGCGTGCATGCCTATACCTACTGTGTACCTCGATATCCCAAGGAAGAAAGGAGCGTTCGTGGGGGTACATAAATTCGTGAGTTTTCTCCAATAAATAATCCTCGAGCCGCATGAAATTGACTGCTCGCGCGAGTGTCGAAACTGAGAAAGGAAACAAACTATATCCAGTTTGGAGAGACGTCCAGATGAGTCCTCGTGGCACACAAAGTCCCGGAAGGCAAAAGCTCGGTATTTAGTTTTCGCGGAGGGTCGTCAAGGGGAGGCCCGCATTTAGTTTGGGTCGACCGAACCTGATAATCGAGATCATCCATCTCTTTTCCCCTCGGGTGACCCGTATACTTCGGTGAGCGGCTGACCGCAGAGAGTAACTCAATAGGCACAAGCAGCAGTCCCACCTTTTTTTACACAGAACCGTCGGCTCTTCCCTGGTTTTTGTGGTCTCTCGGTTTTTCGAAATGTCGAATCGTCCTATGTTTTTCATTATTTTTGAACCAATTGCTTCGAAAGAGTCGAGAGAGCACTTTTTCCCTTTGTGTTCCGTGTAACGTTGTTACCCGAGCCGCTGGTTTGTGACGAGCTTGTGGCGAATCGTACACGCAGAGCGTCTTCGAGCAACGCTTGTACGGTGTATTCTGCTAATTATGACTCGGCAGGTGACGCTGGTGTTTAGTGTGTGTTTAATGTGTAAGCAATAGTTCCTCGGTTACTCACGTGTTAATGGTTATCGTGTGAACCCATGTGTCTTAGAGTGATGATGTTACGTGCTTATTTGGTGATGAGATTATAATGTTCTTGTTCTGTTTGTCAGCATTCAACGCTTGGATGTTTCAATGAGTTTTAATAACGACACACAATAATGATTATTATTATAAATCCACCAATTTAAGGCACCTGTTCTGCACGTGCATCCGAAATTTCTTGCTGAACATTGTGTGTGCAGAACAGGTGCCTGGATCCCCGAATCGCATAGTATGTACAACAAACATCGGAGCTTGGACTTTTCACCGTTTCCAGAGTACACAATGGCAATTAATTCCCGTCGGTGATACCTTCTCGATCACGTATCCCTGGAACGGGTATCCCAAAGGGGCTCACCTTGGTGATGAGATCCTTGGCTCGGCTCTCGAAGAGGTGCTCGAGCTTTTGCGTGTCCACGGAAATCGGCGCCAGCTCGTCCCAGATCATCTTGTTCCTGTCGAGCCGCGACAGTATGATCGGGTCTTCCCTGACCTCCTTCCAGAACAACTTGACCGTCTTTTTGCTCTTCTTGGACGTCGACGTCGACTGCATCGGAGGAGGCACTAAACGGCACACGATTTCGTTATTAATGCACAACTCGAGTAAGATTTATTTGATATAAGTACACTACAAAAATTTCGTCAAACTACAAAAAAAAAGCGCTCTAATTTTACATTTGCTTAAAGTTGGAAATGACCCGAGCCTCGATCAACTTGCGTGCTCGTGTATAGCTCGTAATTTGGTAAAAATCGAGAATCGTATCATTTGCCCTCGGTAAATGTACAACGAAATTTTTATTACTATGTGGACTCTTTGGTATGTTGTTGCTGTCTGTCGGGGCGCTTCTCAAGGACGACGTCAACGGAGTCGACTTGAGATTGATGCCGAACAGAGGGAGTGGCGCACGGCAGCCCGGGGCTGACGGGTGCAGTGCTCGAACAGGTCCCGCACCTGAACCATCAGAAAGGGACGATGACGTCGCGATTCGATGGAGAGGAAAAATGCAAAAAAAAAAAAAAAAAAAAAAAAAACACCTACCCGGTGGAGGTGGGGGGACCATGGGCGGAGGGGGCGCCATGGGCGGAGGCGGTGCCATGGGGGGTGGTGGCGGCGGCACCCCGTTCCAGACGTTGACCGGGCCGAGGACATCGATCTCGTCGTCCGAGTTAAGATCCGTAAAGTCCAAGTCGCAGAGGCACAGGGGCCTCTTGAGCTTGTTGGCCAGCTCCTCCCAGTGCAGTTCGTTCTCCGACTTTTTCACCTCGGGCGTCTTTGGCAGCCCACTGTCGTTCGTCGGCGACTTTTGCACGTCAGCCTTTGACTTGGACTTGGCCAGGCCCTCCTTGGCCTTTGAGATCAAGCCACTAACGTCCCCTATCCTGCATGGTTTCACCAAAAGACACGAAATGAAAAAAAAAACTCTCCATCCGACAGAGATAGATAGAGAGAGAGAGAGAGAGAGACACTCACCTCGAGACCTTCTCCTCGACCGGACTGCTAGGAATGAGGTTCTGGGCGGTGAGCTTCTGCGTGAGGTCCTTGACGGTGTTTTCTCGCTTGAGCCGCAGCACGACCCGGCTGTCCTCTTCCTCGTCTGTGTGGTTGCCCTCGTCGCACTCGACCCCCTCGTCCGGGCTCTTGCCGTACCAGGCCTGCTGCTGCTTCTCCTCCGAGTCGAGCTTGTTGGCCGCGTTCATCAGGGGCGTCAGGTCCTTGCGGCAGCTCACCCTCGACAGCTTGTTCGAGTCGCCGTTGCTCACCACCGACCCGTTGTTCACGCTCCCGTTGGTCTGTCGAGCCTCGTTGCTGTACGCCGAGACGCCGTTCGTATACCGCACCCCGTTCGTGTACTGACCTGAGGAGGGGAGGGATAAGTCACGGTTATTATCAAACTCGTTATTTATCCAAAGTCCCCGGAGTACACGATCAACGCGAGCTTTACACTCGACTCGTTTAGTATAGGAGGCCGACAAAAGCATCAAGCTAAAGGAGCTCCTACCATCCCCCTCTCGGGTGCAAGCTCTCCCAGCCAATCGAGGACGACAGAGCGGGATCTAATCGGCCGTGGCTTTCGATTTAAAATACAAGTGGTGCGCGCGTGCATGTATGAGGTATATGCACTCGAGTGGCGCGTGAAAACGAAATGCCGTTTGATCGGACGCGTGGAGAACAAAGTAAAGCCGTTTTGCTATCAAAAGATGATCCCTCTATACGCGCGGAGTAAAATCGTTGCTTCGCAATCATAAAAGCTGTAGCGTGCAAACGGGTGTTAATTGAAATATATGTATACATATACTCACTCTCTTCGTCGGGGTAGCCGATGGAAGCCCTCATGTTGGCGGTGGCCTCCTGCTGTTCCCTTATGAAGCTCCTCTGCCTCTCGGCCCTCTCGCGCCGACGTCTCAAGGCCGGTGTCACTCCCGCGTCTACTACGTGCGTGCAACGAAACAAAAAAAAAAAAAAAAAAAAAAAAAACAGGACAAAGCTGTCGTTATTTTGTTTTTACGAGTGTAACCGCGGAGCGGTCGATGTAATCGAGCTATTCGATTTGAGCGCGGCTGCGGTACACCATAGCTCACTTTAGCCCTTTAGAAGCAATCGCCGAGGGAGAAGCCGTAACTTTCTCGATTCTCGGATCGTCTCCATGAAGAGCAAAAAAACAACAAATCTATAACCGGCATCGAATCGACGTTACGGCGAAGCTCACACCCGCGACTCCGTCAGGGGAGTAACAAAAGCAAAAGGAGGAGAGAGAAAGAGACGATTGCAGCGTACTCCCAAGCGCGAGAGACAGCACTGGCCGCAATCAGCTGGCTCTCGAGTTACACGCGAGTGGTTTTCATTTCGAGGCGCGCTTCCTTTTTGCCGCGCGCGGCCTTGGGACGATTTTCTCGCGCTTCTCTCCTCCTTGCCGGGAATGCCGATTCGTTAATCGCTCTCCCGCTGTATACAAACGCGAATCGGTGATCGATTCACCCGATGTGTTTTCGTTCGACTCTAGGGTGACAAAATGGCACCCAAGACGCGAGACCGTGGATTTTCACGTTGTTATTTTTGCTTAATTTTCGCGCCCAAGCTCCATACCCGCTTTTCGGCGCAATGAGAAATACGGGTGCTTAATTCTCGCAACCTTGGAGCCGATCGACGGACTAATGGAGCTAGTGTCGGGTATCCCCGATAGGCCGATATCGAATGGCACTGAAACTCGATGCTCCCTCGCACGCTTTCGATTGCTTATTGGACTCTTTGCAACAACAGGGCTTTATAGAAATTTCATCAAATTGACCGTGTAAGCGTCCAATTGTCTGTTCAATTGGATGAAAAAAAAAAAGAAAGTAGACTCGTCGCGGAAATGTAGAATTTTCGTAAGTATCAATAAATTGCTAGAGCCATTAATTATTATCATCATGATGCTGCATTTTTTAGAACTACTTTCTCATCGTTTGCAATACTTATCTCGGACCCCAAACTACACATCAACCGTTGCGTTCGTCTCTATTGTTGTATTGACACGAAATTACCGGGTAGACGTCACCGAACCATAAATGCCAAACGGGGGGAGATGAAAAAAAAAGAAAAGAAAGTGAAAAAAAACTCACGCGAGCCCTTGTTGTTGCACTCCTTGTAACTGCCGTTCATATCCCCAAGGCCCTGCGAGCTCTGGGAGCTGCTCGACTCGTTGTCGTCGTCGTTGCTGACGGGCAACGCGCCCGAGCTCCCGTTGCTCAGACCGTTGTTCACGCCATTTTTGATCACGAGGCCGTTCCTCTTGTTCTGATGGGGACCAGGCGAGCCCACCGATAGCGGCGACGTGCCCGTCGAGTGCCGCCTCGACTTGCGCCGTTCGTGCGAGTCCACCACGGATTTTCGGTTCCGCAGCGTGTTACTGTTGCATAAAAAACCAACCAAATGGACAATGAAGAAAAAAACTTACAATGTGCGCACAAGGAGCACATAATATGTTGTATACACGTACCCAAAGTGCGACAGCAGCTGCTTTTGGTTGTTGTCGTCGAACTGCCTGATGGGCGAGTCGCGGTCGTTGCCATCCTCGTGATGGAGCACCGCCTCGTAGATCTGAAACTGGCGGAGGAGGTCGAGATCGGTGCCGGGCTTGGCCATGTATCGCTGTATTATGGCCTCGATGCCCTGCTCCTCGAGACAGTCGACCTGGTCGTAGTAGGTGTCCTGGTCGGGTATGCCGTTGAGACACTTGTTGATCAGACTCGTCGCGTAGATGAGTAGTTCCGTGTCGGCGGCGTCGTAATCCTTGAGGAGCCTCATCACGTTCGTCCACGGCACGGCGGCTCGCGAGGCGTCGACCGTCCGGATGGCGCGCACCAGTAACTGGCTGTTGGTCTCGACGTACTCGACGAACACCAGCAGCAGCTTGAGGGCCGTCTTTACGACTAGCCTAAATCGGCTGGCTATCAGCGCGTACAACCACTGGACCGTCTGGCCGTGCTCCATCACGCCGTTCATACCGTCGACGTACAGCATCACCTGGCCGAGGGCTGCAACAACAGTTTCACCGCTCGTCAAAGGGGCTGGGGCAGCTCAAAGAGAAAATAGTCCCTTGGTCTCGAGGGTAAGAGCCCGAATGTAATGGAAGCTGCCTGATTATTCCCTCCCACCTTTTTTTTTTTCCTTCTTCTTATCGGTGATAGGTACGTATACACAAGGACAGAGAAGTAGCGTTCGTTTATCGAGGCTGTCGGGGCTGTTTGACCTCCGATTTCATTTTCACGCACCAGATCGGAAGATTGGGGTCAAAGGTATATATACACGTAAGCGCTAAAGGAGATCTCGGATATTTTTTACTTTGATTATGAACGAAATACCGATCCAGGTGAGAATTCGGTGTATGCTCGTTATTAGGTTGTTCACATGGCGTTTTCGTCGCATATATACACAAATTCACGTAAATATTACGTTCGGGATCATCGATAATCCGATCAAACAACCGGAGCGGGTATCCTCGATAAAAAAAAAAAAAAAACTTTTCTACGCGCCTATATACACAATACAGAGCCCACTATACAACGTTCGAGGGGTACACACATTAAACGCACAATACGTAATTCACGCGTTAGTGGACGAGTGCACCATCGGTGCATACATTAACAGCTCCACCTACGCTATACCCATACAGCCATTTAAATTTCGGCACAAAAGGCGCTCAAACACATCCCATGCAAAATCATACGCCCCTCCCCGCGGTTAATACAGCGGGTGATTCTCGTTACAATGAAGAGCCCTTTGATATCAACGTTAATGGTGGTGTGCGCTCCTCATCGTAATAACCAGGAGTTTTCCCAATAACCGAGCGAACCGAGAACAACCGTACCGGTGAATCCTACTTATTATGTTCAACGGGGAGCAATATCGCGCGCTACATGCATGCATCCAACGATTGTCGCAAGCTGCGTGTAGGTGTAATGTACCGCGAATAACTTTACCGCGTCGCTACTCTACCGTACATACCCCCCCGGCTAATTGGATTATGTAACTTATGCGACTCGCGAGTAAACGATTATTACTGGGATTATCGGAGTGTCGCGACAGAGGCGTCAATCGCCGAAGGGAAGTGGGAAAATCCGATTGCACGGTGAAGAAGAAAATAGTGCTGGAAGTGCCGTTTGAGTGACGTTTATGGCCCCGGCGCGCGCAATATACGCTCCTTTATCTCTCTGGCGTCCCTCGTTTAAGCGAGTGGATTGTATATGTGTATAGTTGACGCGAAGGTAAAAAATAAACGGGAGAGAGCTCGTATGCTCGTTTACGGGCAGCCGTAGAGTTTGCTCTCGGTTGAAATATTGCGTTTTGGGAGGGTTACGTGCACAGTTTACGGACACCCTGAGAGATTGGCGATTACGCTCGGGCACGCGGCGGAGCGCGCACGTAATGATAATGTTATTTAACGCGGAGAGAGAAAGAAAAGCCAAGTGAGAACAATTATCAAGGAGATTGCGAGCTCGTTGGTTTTAACGCCACTGTACAAGTGTATGGGGTGTGGACTAATTGAAGGAGGAGGAGGAGGAAAATGGAGAAACGCGAAAGAGGAAGCCACTTAGCTTAACAAATTGGCTCTGTGTGTACATACAATAGGTTCGATTTTATTTGGTAGCTCTATGTGTGTACCTTATCAATTGTTTTTCGCTCCCACAATTGTACAGGTATACCACTTGGGAAATCGCTAATTTTGGAGATTAATACAGCGCAGCCGGCATAATTTTTCCGAATCGAAAAAGCTGCGTTCACTTACTTCACTTTCTAAAGCCACTCGCTATCTGTTTGCAGGGATCGTACTTACGATCGAGTGCTACTGCCACGGTGCATTGTTTTATCGCTTTTTAAGCCTCCGTTGACTAATACGTGCACTACACTCGTTCAGGTGTATCATAATAGCTTGATTGTAATTATAACGCCATCCTTTGTACCCCATATCCCACTAAGTAAGCAAGGAATGAATTTCCGATCCCACGAATTTGAATTACGTACATCGCGACGGATCTAAATTTACTTCCGATGGAGGGAGGGCCCCATCAGTTCTCCACGCGTAAGCTTTCGTTGTCCACATGTTTTATACACGTGTTCACAAATATACCACGGCATAACGATGACGGGACGAGACCTATTATCGGTGAAATTACGAGAGATTTCCGGCTGTTAACGAGGACCCGAGTAGGGCAGACCAAAAGCTGTACACTGTTGCGACGTCGCCTCGCCCATCACTTGTGTATATAGTCAGTCGTGCAGTTTCCAAAGTCGTGTTCTTCCTCCTGCCAGTCTCTACCTACTTTCGATCAATGGAGGGATTAGTAGATGGACAACGTGGCTTTGAACTCTAAAATGTTCACACACCAATTGGTAAACTAGTACCAGCACGTTAAAAGTTCATTGCCGATTCAAACGGACGACCTTGCCTATTATTCGCTGCACTTACCAATTCCATCAATTTAACACAGCTCACATTAGCACGCCCCATGCCCCATTCGAATTTTCAGCACTAATAACGGTTGAAACGAGTCAGGGCAACGTTACATCCCATTAAATATGAAATTTCGTTTCGGTAATCGTTACGTGTCCCCCCCCCCCATCCTCATTTTATGTATAATGGCACGAGCAAACAAAAAGAATTCACGGTAGCCCCGTGTATACGAGCTAACGAGCGACTTCTCCCAATGAAATTTTAGCACCGGATTATTACCACCAGCGCGCATTTGAATAATCGACAGCGATACCGTCATTCGGTTTGTTGCCGGGAGAGAAGTTGAGAAAAGTGCCACGCGATGGCGATGATAAAAAGACTCGAGGGGTTGAAAACCGTTAGGTGCGACGAAGGAGATAGTATATGTACCATCGCTACTGAAATGCGGAGAAGTCCATACGGTAAAATCGGAAAGGGCAATCGGCTTTATTTCCCTCTCGAACCGCCCGTGCGACCGTAGTATCCTCGTGGCGTAGAAATACGTGCGCTTCTACCTGTCGATTGAACACCATTTCAAACCAATACCGGCCCGTCATCGTTTTCATATGCACGCATCGGTGTACCAAAAGCTCTTCAATTACATGCAAAACGGTCGCTCCGAAATCAGACCGCAAGTGCTGTTCGCTGATTCGCGTATTGTGCGCGGACCCACTCGCTCCTGCGGGCCGAGTGATTTTGGATTCGCAAATGAAAAGGCTCGAGCCCAAAACATTGAGACATAGTTGTACGCAGCAATCAATTCGACTGCGTGATTGTTAAAAAAGGGCCTTGAAACACAATAGTGAAAAAATAAATAAACGTAACAACAACAAAGCTAATATCGCGGGAAATCGGTAGGGGGAGGATCGAGGCTATTCGAGAGGCGGTTCCTCCCTGCCCACGGGTGATTTCGTCCTGTATCGATAAATCGCCTACACGTGGAGAAGGGGTAAGACGCAATAGGCGAGTATACACAAAAAAACTGTACACAATGGGTACAAACGAGCCTTGGGACGGGAGAAAGATGGGAAGAAGAAAAGAGGTAGATACGAGCGAAGAAGAGGCGGGATGTAGTGAAGAAATATATATATATGCGCATGCATGTATAATGCATCGGGTAATGTAATGTGCACTCACCGCGTAGTATGTAATTTTGGTAATTCTGGTCGGCCTCGCTGCCGACCTTGATGAGACACGCCAGTCCGTCATTCTGCACGAACTCGTGAACCAGATCCTTGTCCTCCTGAAACACACAGATCGACATCTCCAGTTTAACAACACGTTGCATTTCCTCCAACCGATTCGTTTGTTGTAAAAATAAAAAAAAATAAAAAAAAATATCCATCTCCAAATAACCTTTTCAAAAACCGCCATGGACGAATCCTCCAACATACGATGGACACGGGCGCACCACACACAGCCGATCAGTCAGAAAGCAATCACGGCAATCTCGAGCAACGGTTAAAAATTCATCGACCCACGCACGGGCCAACGGCACGCGAGCTCAATGATACCATCGGAGCCACTCTAAATCATCGTCCTCCCCGGAGTCTATATATACGTACAGCGCAATGAAAACGCAGCTAGATCTTACACCACCACCGCCATTATTAATTATCGCCTGCGGAACTCAGAGATCCGGGGAGCTCGGCACCTTCCTCGAAAAGCTCGAGTGACGAGGGCTTCGGGGCAAACCCCCGCACCCACTCGATAAGACGCAATCAATTAACTTCCACAACTTCTCTCCTTCTCGATCCGGATTCGCGAGCTCATCGGTTACAACGCCCATACCCATCCCTCCCACGGGACCAATGAGAATACGACCATTGCCGCAGAGTGCGAGTTGGATCGGCCTCGAAACGGAATAGTTGTTGCTATTCCCTCATCGAGTTTGCGCCCGTTCGAGCATACATAGGCACACTTTGCCCGCAGTTTCCAAAGAGTGCCGGGGATATAGGGCTTTTAGCCCTGCGTATTCGTCCTAGTCCTGGATTCCCCCCGGCCTTTCCTGATAAACTTCCTCTCTCTCCCGCTTCTGCGTTGGTTTACCAGTGAAAAGCTCACTCGTGCTTTGATATTTCGGTCTCGTCTACCCTGCGTATGCATAACGCGTTCAGAGAGCTCCGTTGATCCCCCATGCCCCCCAGAAAAGTTCCTCCGGCACAAATGGCACTGGAAAGTTCGTGCCGATATGCGTACGTCGGAGCAAGAGAAGGGAGCATCCCTACGCCCGTAACACAGACAGACGATCCGAAAGCTTATTGCAGCGCGTTGCTAATGAAATTAGTTTGGTACACGGATCTACGTATGTAGGCACATTGTGCGTGGGTACCGTGCGATCTGTACCCAACAAGTGGGTGCCTTTGCAGTAACCCAAATGAGTACAGCACACGCTTTCGTTGCCATACCGTAAAGGAGAGAAAATGACGCGTGTGCGCCTATACGTTTATATATATATATATATGTGTGTGTGTACGCGAGCACAGCCGGTCAATGACGCGTGTACGCCCAACGCGAGGTATGCGAGATAGCGCGGGTGTGATAACGCAAATTGCCAAGAGGTGAGGGAGATAAAACTCCCCCGCCCCTCTCACGCCTATCCCCGAGACGGGGGCACGCGAGAGCATGTGTTGCAGTGAGAGTCGTTTCTGGTTTTTTTCTTTCCTTCGTTTGTCCTCGATGTGCCTGGATCTCGAGAAACCGGGGCATGAATGTTCAGGTGTACACTGACGCATCGGCTTAATCGATTTGGCTGGTTGTCTCTGCGGTTTGTCGTTTGGGTGCGCTCGGTATAGCAAGGACAACGGCAGCAGAGGAAGACACTCGCGACTATGCATGAAGTAGAACACAACCCGGGAGCTGTTGCTGCGAGGTATATGCATTGGCAAGAGCGTAATGCGCGCGAGAGGAAAATTAATGGCAGGGAAAAATGGGAGGGAAAAAAATAAAGAGCGAGCGAGGAAAAGGTGATGGTCGAGCGCGGGGTAACGCGCCTGTTCGTCCTTGAACCAATTCCTCGGGCGATAAGCGAGTCACGTCGCTGTCGTCGGCTCCAAACTAGTACACCGAGGGAAAACAAACGAGTGGGGTTTGGCAATGCTCCTAACGATTTTGCGGGGTGTGGACTTTTTTTTGTTTTTGACTTGCTTAAAGCGATGCTTGAACTAGGCTGCCGGAAAAACGATTTTATGCTGACAAGTATCGCCCAACTTTAAATCAGCATACATGTGTCTAGCATAGTGGAAAAATCGGTTTATGTCCATACAGCACTAAAATTGAATGATGGACACTGGGAGCAATTAAAACGAAACAAAAAACCAATGGAAAGAAAAACATGTTCCCTTAAAATATAATAATTTAATTTGTAATACCACATTTTCGAAATCACAATCATCTCACGGTTCTCAATAGATGTAAAACTATAAAATGTTTTATCCAGCGTTTTATATATAATATTTCCCGAATGAACTGATGAATTTTCGTGAATTCAAAAAAAAAAAAAAAAACACACATCCAAGTGCACATTTTTTATTTAAGTCAGTAGAAACATTTTTTTTTTTTTTAATCGATGAGGATAAAAATAAAAATCGATCCAACAAAACTAGGTACCCAAACGATTTTGTTCAGCATATTCCGATACAAACTTGTCACTGATAAATCTCACTCCATCTTGATTATAAAACACGGTCTGTCGCGAGATCTTACCAATCCTCCCAACTCACAACGCAGGTGTTACACGTTCCACTCGATCATCCGGATCATCGGAAGACATTGAAATGCACTCAGCACTGCTCTTTAACTTTCAGTTTTTTTTTTCTCTTTTTAATCCACGACGCGACATTCAATCCATCATCCACCTCCAAACGTACGACACATCAGAGCTAACAAATATTCGAAAATCAACAATAAAATCCATACGTTAATTTTACTCTGGTGATACAAAGATTTTACCAGATATTAAAATTAATCGCTGCTCGATTGATTTAGTAGTTGCTCGTTAGGTGCAGCCATTTTCCTCCTGTTACCCACGACAATAGCCATACATTTTTTTCCACCCGAGATACTTCACCGCTAGCAACTTTACTCGGAGGCACGATAAATACCCCACAAAACAACCAAGGAACGAAAGTAGGGCAAACTGCATTATTATTACTACGGAGACAGAAAAACAGAGACGGACGTGCGCGCCCGTACAGTGCAAGGCTTAATAATCATCGCGAGCTTCGTTGTCAGCGATAAGAGAGACGCGAAAAAAAGGCTCGAGAATCCGTCCGGGAAAACGAAGAAAATCGGTGCATTGTACATATTTATTCAGCCGTACAAATAGAGAAAAAGCAACGCCTATTGGGAGCGCGATTCCTCGATCGGTAAGTATCTCGAATAGACACCTTGTGGTGAGGTGGTTGGTTGGCTGCACCACCTCGACTATTCCGAGCTGGATATAATGGTGTGGACGCAGCACGTGTAAAATCGCGGATGTATTTTCGAAACTCGCGCGGGGGGAAGCAAAAACAGTCGAACGTAAAACAAAGAAAAATCTATTGGGACACGCGCGACGAGCTGGGGCGCCACACACGTATAAACCCCCTCGAATGCGAACACAAAAATATCTAATACACCTATGTGTGTATGTGCAACTCGCTCGTTTCCTTACTCGTGCGGGTATACCATCCCACATGCATGCAAAATGTATACGACAGAGACAATAAATGTACACACTCACCTGAAAGATCTGCTTGAGGGAGAAGAGAGCCCGTCGCAGCTCGCGGCCCTCGCTGTTCAGCAATTTTTCTGCAACAGACAAGCAACACGCAACCATTTATTATAATAATAGCGGGCGAGCCTCCACTCCTCGTCGTCGTCGTCGGGGCCATTGTCATGTATATGTTTGTGTGTGCAGGGTCGGGGGAGTCTTATATCCCTCCTGGGTACATTGTATTGGGCTGATCAGTCGAATCATTTTTTTT